TCACAATAATGATCAACAATGTTTACAGGGTAGGAAACTCAATGTGCAACTCTTTATTTCGAAGTGCACTCACATTTTCAAATGATCACGTCAACTAACAACATGCATAGGGAATCCCAATGTCCCTTCACTGGTGAGCGAATTTTAAAAGAGGCGGGCAGGCTACTCATGTGGTCCTTGGAGGCTTGCTGCCCGCCGACACCATGTTGGGGACCCCTTGCACAGACCGCATGTTCTTCTTCTCTCAGAGAACCAGCAAGGTCGCATGCTGTAAGATGACAAGCATAGCTGCACTCACTTCCTTTATTGGAAGATAAGTTAATTTTCACTCTCTGGCAACAACTCAATGATGAGGTATGAAAATGTAATAGCAGCACTCACATTTTCACTGGTAACCTGTAGCACTAAATATGTCTGCCTGTGTGTATTGCGACTCACCACCACACTAGTGTCGTGACACTTTAAAAGTGCAATTGCTTTGTTGTCAACAGGGAAATGATCGCAAAATCACTTGGTCATCATTACACAGAGAAATAAAGAAGTGACTGCGAAGATGAAACCCTGTCAGGTATGATTTTAAGCATTTGCGATTCTTGGAATAGATGTAATTAAGTAAAAACAACCATAATATAGTGCATTAGACAACAATGTATGCAAGCTATGACCATTTTTAAGTTTCTACAGAGGCATCCATCCAAACCAGTCTTTTCCAGGAAGTGGAGCAACTATTGCAAACGTTTAACTTAGGCTGTTTCCTCTTTGAGTTCCTGAAATGACAAATGGCATACCATTAGAAGAAGCAATAAAGGAACAAACTTTCCCTGAAGTGAAGTGTAAACCACAGTGCTTTTCTTTTTCTTTATTTTTGTTCACCTTAATTGTCTTCCACACCTCAGCCCTCTCTTCCAGAGAAACAGGCTCTTTATCAAGGCGCTCCAGTTTTGGAATGAGAGTCAGGACATATGGCCGGTAATCTGTGGTCCCGTCCAGTGGATTCTCAGAGAGGACCACGACTCGCAGGGTTTTGGACACATGGCCAAGAGCCCGAAGACAGGTCTCGTCAAGGAAGTCGTTGCTTCTGTGGGGGAAAGGGAGAGATACAGGAATGTAATGTTGTTGCTTTTGATTTTTCTTAGTGTGGCATCACTGTACAGCCTACCGGATATTGAGGTACTGGAGACATTTCATGTTGGCGCTGAGTCCGTCCAGATTGGCAAGTTTGTTATTACGGAGGTGGAGAGTGGTGAGACTCTCTAACTTCTCCATGCCCTCAAGACTTGTAATAAGATTTTGGGCCTCAAATACGGAGAAAGAACACAATCACAAAAGGCAGAGACTTATGTATTTTAATCGAGCATTTTATAACTGACTTTTTTTTTTTTTTTTTTTTACCAGATATAATCGCTGCAGATTAGGAAGGTTAATGCCATTAGTTGTAGTCAAGCGGTTTCCTCTCAGCTCCAATGTAGCCAGTTTGGAAAAAAGGCAACTCTCAAGACCATTCAATCTCTGTATACGGTTCCCTGTAAGCAAAGTAAAGGACGGACATGACTTGAAGACAAACGTATGCTCATGGTTTACGACACTTATTCAGATGCATTCATCAGCCAAACCTGAAAGATTGAGACTCTCCAAAGCTGGTCCAACAAGACCTTCCACCTCAGTGAGCCGGTTTGCTGCCATACTCAGCCACTGCAGGTAGGCCAGCTGAGAAAAGGTTTGTCCTTGGAAGCATGTAACATAATTCTTGTCAATCTAAGAAACAGTCCAGTTCGAACTTCAGTTAGAGTAGTGGTTCTCAAATTATTTACAAGACCACCTCAACAAATGCTTTCTCTCCAAGTACCACCATAACGACCAATATTAAAATACAGTAACATATAAGTACTAAACAATATACCAGTGTTAAAATTTAAGCCACTGTAACATTATGCATAATTTGAATACTGTAATAACACTGCTCTTCAAGTGACTCTTTCGTGGACTAGTAGTGGCGCCTGTATCACACTAAGAATCACAGAGCGAGAGTGGATGACAAAGTGCCATTTTTTTTCTTGATTATAAAAAAAGAAAAAAAAAATCCTTGCCTTGAGCCAAAGAAGCTGAGTGAGGGATGACAGAGGTGAAAGGTCAGAAATGCGGTTGTTGGACACGTCCATGAACCGAAGGTGAACGTAATTGCTGATCGCAGCCATGTCACTTAATCTTCTATATTAAGTACAAGCAGAGAAGTGGAGGTTTAGGCTTGAACAGATTTGCTAGGTTGGCAATTTTGCCCTCTTACTTGTCCTTTAGGACGACTTTAATGAATGCGTGTCTCAATCCATTTCCTGTTCGGCACAGTAAAGACAGACCTGGAATTATAATATCTTGATCCAAGGGGCGAACCTGTTAATAAAACAAAGGGAAGGGATGCATCAACACGGATTTCAGTAGGGAGGTGGAGCACACTGAACAATTCATTAACAATTATGGAATTATTCGCATGTGGCCCGCGTCAACACTTTGCCCTCTTGATGAAAGAAAAAAAACAAATAAATAGTTTTAGAAACATTTTCAAAAACCGATCATAATCAAAATCATCTCTTCAGCAAGTACAGGGTATGTAAAACACACAAGAAATTTGTCCTCTGTAGTATACTAATATATAAATAAAAATACAATTTGTAATTTCTGTTCATTGATAATTGTGCATGCGAGGGTAGGGGTCACTCCAGTGGAGGGGAGGGGTGCGATGTTTGTGAAAGGGGACAAGTGAAGACTGGCTCGGACAGACAGTCTGAGTGTTGAGCGTATGGGCGTGAGTTGTGGCCATCAGCAGCTCTGGTTGGTATGTGTTTTGTTGCTGTTCTGTTTAATAAAAAGTGAATAGATTGCAACAGTGACTGTGTGCGTCCTTGATGACGGTGAAGGTAATTCCAAAATATTGAATAAAAATCATGTGGATATGTGAATCGTGGCTGCTAACCTGAGAATATGAAGGGGTTAATTGTAGTTTTAAGGTCACCAATCATCTCTGGATGTCAGATGTCTTAGTTATTTACATTTTTTTTTTTTTTACTGGGTCTTCTACTGCCCTGTACTACACCTTGATTAGGCCAGATAGATAGATAGATAGATAGATAGATAGATAGATAGATAGATAGATAGATAGATAGATAGATGTCACGGTGGTGGATTGGTTAGCACTGATCGTCCACCTCACAGTGCAGGGGTCATGGGTTAAATTCCGGGCCATAGTATGCAGGAAGAACAGTACTGTAGTGCAATAATAACATTCTGAGTTTGTTTTTTTTTTTTTGTGAAAAATGTACAAGCATTGGTTTCATGTTCAGAAGTTTTGTGACAGCCTTGATATTTTTTTATGCGCAAAAGCCCTTTGGTAAATACAGTATGTGTTTATTATTACTTTTTTTGCTGTTTGTTTGCTTCGAACCCTTTGTTTGGTTAAGATAGTAGAGCTGGACAAACTGTAGTCTGCAGTGGACCTAACATGCACGTTTTGGATTATTTTTTTTTAAATGGAGGCCGGAGTATCAAATGAAAGCTCGCAAAACCGGAAGCTAACGCGTACTCCAACAGAACGTGCTCACACACACACCCCAAAAACATATGGGGGTCTTCTCCAAAACTATTCACACCATTGAATAAGTAGCAACTTAAAGCCCAAATAAAACAGTAACTTTCAGCATACTTGTGATCAGATGGTGATTGTGGGTTGTTACATTTTCAAGCAGTTGGTCGAACGATAATCGTTACCTCGATTGCTTCTTCGTCCTCGTCTTGATTTTCTTCACCGTTTTCCACATCCGACGACACAGATTCCTCGTCCATTTGGGTCAGTCATTTGCAATCCTGTTGCCACCCAAGGTAACTCTTGATGGACGACTGACCGTTAAAGTCCCGTTTTCAAGTTGGGGCTGCGATGTTGTCCGTTACCATGGAGACAGACACCGCCACACGTGTGGTGTAAGAGCGTGGGCATCTTTTCTACTTCACAATAAACAAGGTAGGGCTTCAACTTTAGTGTCTGTGATGTTGAATGACAATGTAAATTTTAACACAAAAACGTGTATTAAGTAGCTGCAGAGTGGGCTCGTGCTCTCTCATACATATACTCTCGCGACAATGTGAATTTTAACACAAAAACGTGCACAGTATTAAGTAGCTGCAAAGTGGGCTCGCGCTCTCTTATATTTGTGTGTCACAAATATATACATATATAAACATATACACACATACATACAGATTTGTTTAACCAGTAGTGTATGTATTGCAAAATATACATATTTATATAGCTCCTATTTTACATATCACATCATTCCAAAGAATCAACATTTCAGGTGGTACAACCACACAACGTAACACATTATTTATTTCTAACAGTCGCATAGACCAAAACACTAAAAAGACAACCTTCTTGAGAAACAACTGAATAAGAATTTGGATTCATACCTGTAAAATGACATTTTATCCCTAACTTTCTTCTTTTAGTGGTAAAAATAATGTACATGCAATTAGTATTGTACACAGTACTATTAGCAGTCATTCACTGAATGACAAGGCATAAAGCATTAAACAGGAAGTCAAGTCAATTGTTCAAATTGACAATGTGGCCACACTACTCAGAACATGACATTCTGATTAATATTGCATTTGAAGAATATGTATTAAGTGGCAAAATACACACATTTTTTTTCTTCTCAGTGGGTGGCCCTTTTGCCACTTGCTCTCAACTGAAATTGACATCATAGTGCACGCAATAATCACAAGTGCCCATGGTTGTCTGTTGTTTGCTATTTATTGTTTTAGTTGTCTATATTTATGTCTTTATGTATTTTTATGCAGTTCAGTTCGCTGCCCTTATTTTTAGCTGTGTGTGTTTCAATGCACTGCATGTTTGCACTGTGGTTGAGAGAGGAAAGTTATTTCATCTGTGCTGTATGTTGCACATAGAGCATATTTGACAATAAAGCTTGACTTGACTTGACTTGGGGCTCACTCAGATTGTGAACGTCACACGATCAAACCCAGAAAGCAGGTAAGCCGTGACGGTCATTGTGGCTTAATTCATATTCTAGAAACGCAACATTAATCAGAATAGAGAGTTTTAACGAGTGGGGGTGCATAGAACATGTTATTGTTGATAAATGTCTTGGCTTGACTTCCCCTTTAAATAAAGCAAAAAAAGAAAAAAAATCAATGGTGCATAGACTGTCATTAGAAAATGTCATTCACTGCGATGAGAGCAAGCTTATTTGTCAAACAGGCAGGACTTGGCATCATCAGGGTGTAGGGGGCAGGGTGGGGTGATATTCTGATCCAATGAATGTTCTGTCATCCTCTGCTGGACCAGTTAAAAGATGCAAAAGTGAAGTTAGTCAAATATGAGAACATGTTATGGACTGGTGATCGTATCAGTGAAGGGTAAAGTACTTGTCCATTTCGCATCGGGGACAAAATCCACATTGCAGCATCACAGCTCACTGCATTTGGATATTGCGCAACAAAAGTCCTTTTTTCACACCTCCTTGGAGCATTCGGGCACCAAGGCTTGAGCCTGTGATCCCATCACTAAAGAGAGGGGCAGAGTCAAAAGACAGGTAAAAAGGTAACCAAATGATGAAATAAGTCGCATAAAAAAAACACTTTAGAATACTGCACTTGAATGGGAGGGAGAAAACCGTAAAGTAGTAAATAGCAATATTCAAATAGCAGCATCATATGGGTATTGAATGATAGATAAACAGAATTAAAAAATATGGCCTTTTGTGCAATTTCTTGCATTGAATCAGGACTTTCCTGTGAAAAAAATTGAAACATCACAAAATGATTGGGGGGAAAAAAACTGTCTTCTTACATGGCACTTAACTTGCTCTTCTTGGAAGCGGGAGCTTGGAGTCCATCTGTTCGTTTCTGTTTATATATTTAAAAAAAAACAAAAAAAAAAAACTCTAGGGCATCAATACAATCTGGGAAAAACAATGAGTTGAGGCTACGTTGCCACATCTAAGATGCTGGTGGCGTTGCTGTTTGACTAACCTCTTTTCCGGCAACTTCTTGCATTCTTCTTTGCTCCAGATTTTGCTAAAGAAAAAAAATGCTAGTTTAAAAAAAATAATTGCAATGACACAATTCTAAACACCTTTTATCTTTTTAGGAGACCTAATTATATGCAGTGATGCCTTGAGAGATGAGTTAAATTCAGATCATGGCCAGGCTTGCAACTGGACAATAATTGTCTTTGTCATAGAGTGGCAGAAAACACACCTTATGTAGTTCAGAGAGCTGCTGGTGCCTAATCAGGGCCTCTTTGCTGGGAAACTGCCTCCTACACAGAAGACAGGCCAGTTTCACCCAGTCAGTCATCCTCCCTTCCTTCTCATCTTTTTCGCCTCCTTCATCTTCACTGTCACTTTCCCCACTGTAGGCTGGAACAAGACCCAAGTGCTGAGGAGGGGGTGACTATATGGGGGGGAAAAACAGACTGAGATGAATCTGCTACAAGTTGAAATCCTAACAGAGAAATGGCACACACAACATACTTCTGTTTGTCTGAGTTGGTCCAGAAAAATTTGAGGCCGTTCTGACAGCGCCCCCTGGGGGAGAGAGGAAAACATTCAATGGGATCTGCAACTCTCACCACCCCCCACTTTTTTTCTTTTTTAACCTACCAAGTATTTTCTACATTAGCTCTACTGAGGTATAATAATCATTTTAAGGCTTGGTTCAGCATATGAGGTATGTGTAAGCATGCAACACCTTTTTCTCCAGAACAGCATAACCTGCATCAGCGCTGGCAGATTCTCTGCGATCTGTGGAACCGGCTGCAGTGGAAGGAGAGGCAGAGCGCATGTTTTCCTTGTGTCGGTTGAGAGTCTTGGCCCAGCGCTCCATATCTTTGGCAATCTATTAACACAAGTCCAACATGGGGAATACATTTAGTGGCATGCAGTTAAGCTCTTCCTTTTTTAACATGGGTGACAATCATGTGCATTGTCAAACTAATTATTCACAAAACAGAAAAAGGCATGACGTGAATTTATTTTTGTGTAAAAATGTACCTGTTGAGCAGTTTTACTCTTGGGCTTATCTTTTTTCTCCTTGCTGCCAAGGTTAGCTAACATTGAGTCTGCGGGGGCTGCACGATCACCTTCTGTGTTTGACTGTCCAGAAGCTGCAGGAATGTATGTGTGCTTGTCGCCCTCCCAGTACATGAACTGCTGAGTGTGAGGGTTGTAGTAGTACTGTAAAAAGAGTCATGAATTGTAATAAGTGGGTCGCAATATTACTAAACTTGATTTACTGAACATTCAGCTCACGTATTTGTTCATTTGACATCGTTTTTACCTGGGAGTTTGGGTCATAATAGAGTCCTGTCAGTGGGTCGTAATAGTAGCCTGAGCTTTCATCATATTGGTATGTGGTTACATCTGGCACAGCTAAAGTATGAAAAAAAAGGAAAGAACCAACATCAACAAATAAAATAAAGGCAAACAAAGTCGATTAGGTAGCACATACGATATTGCTGGAGCTCATGTCCAGTGCCGGGTGTTGCAGGTTGGCTGGAAGCAGCTGGCTGTGGCTTTCCGACTATCTCGACCTTTAAGGACAACGCACATAACAGGGTGGAATGCGATGTGATGCATGGCAGTGGAAGATTGGTAAAAAGGTACCTGAGTGGCAGAAGCCTGAGTTTGAGGCTGCTGCACGACAGCGATCCCGGATGCCAATGCTTCACCTGGAATCACTGAAGCTGCATCATGTCAAACAGGTACATTACATAAATACACAAATCCACACCGTATCCAGTCATACATCACACATATGTGAAATATCCCAGCATAAGATAGTAACCTGGCGTAGCTGCTGCTGAGTAAGCCACCTTCAAGTGTGCTACTGCACTGGGCAAAGAAGCAACCCTGGAGTCTGTCTGGACTTGAAAATGTTGGCCGTCCAGCAAAGCGTAATCGTTCCCCTCCTGATTGTACGTTACTGCCGCTCCCTGCTGATACATCTCACCATATTCTGGGCCCCCACCTGAACCATTTTGTGCATTCTGAGGATGAAAAACACCAAGCACAGAAATGGGACAACAATATGAAAAAAAATTAGGCTGTCTCGCTGTAGCACATGGGTATTAGTATTTAAACAGAGTAAGTGTGCATATTAAGGATTTGCAGGCTATATAACACACGTCAAACCAGAGGATTTGTATGTTTCCAGACAGGTGCTTGAAGAATGTCATTTTCAGACAAGGTGCAAAATTGCTTGTGCTTTTTTTTCCTTCACAAAAGAGTACATAATTATTATTATTATTATTATTATTATTATTTTTTTTTTATCATCAACTTGAGCAAAGTCCAAAACACCAAATAAAACACCCAAGATCGTGTGCATAAAAACCTGAAGAAAATCTGCGTTGCCGCGCATGGCAAGTCAGCTCCAGGTTACCTGTGTGACAGCCCACTGTGCTGCAGCAATAGCAGTGCTGGCCACCGTAGCAGCACTCACTCGACTGCCTTCCGTCAGAAACACGTCACTGACAAGGGAGGGGAAAAAATGGTTTCACACTATGTCAACATCCATCCATCCATTTTCGATAGTATTTGTCATCAATAGGGTCACAGGCGAACTGGGGCCTATCCCAGCTGAATAAAGAGAGATCAGCCTTTCTATTTTTGGGACCTAATTTACTTGAAGCACAGCAGTTTTCTTTTCTCCAACACTCATGACTATGTATTCAATAATGCTGTTTTTGTAAGTTAAAAACTCCGGATAAGACCAAACCTCACATGCCTGCTTCCATATTCGGTTGGCAATTTTTAAAGGGTATCACTGAATTTCACACTAATGTATTCCTCATGCACGACCATGCGCTTACCGCTTGGAGCCTTTGGCAAATTCCACCACGATCACCTTTCCATCAATAGAAAGAGGCTGCTTGAGAGCCTGCAAGATCTGGAGCAGTTGAGATGCCTCCTAATGACAAAGCCCAGAGGACGTGAGTGACTACAGGGCACCACTTGGAATGGATGAAGCTCTCATCCCCAGACAATCACAAATTTCTGCTTCCATCCGTGCCCTACAATGCTGCTTACCACAATGGTGGAGAGCTGCAGAAATGCAAAGCCCCTGTTGAGATTTGTGTGCTTGTCCTTGATGAGGCGAATGTTAGAGGGTGACAGTGTGGCAAATGTGGCCAAAGAAGACAAAATGGCTTCCACTGTTGTATGTGGACCGAGGTTTCTGAGGATCAGAGCTAGTGTTGGGGAGGAAAAGACCGTGACAATATTACTAAAAAACACTAGAAATCACATCTTCTTTTGGTTCTCTATGGAGAACTAGCTGGGCAGACAACTTGGTTGTTGACAACCGATTTTGTTCCACGCCATTAAACTTACTGTCGTTGGCAACATCTGCCTGCTGTGTCACTTGACCCAAGTGGATGGCAGAAACGGAGGAATGAAAGGGTGCTGGGAGGGGAAGCAAGCCTTGGGCTCCCTCCTTTTGAAGACCAACAGGTGGATCTTTGTGCATCTGGGGCAACTTCAGCTCAGCTTCTGAAAAGAAAAGAGGATGTCAATTAACTTGTGTTGCAATCTTTTGTATTAGAGACAACAAAGAGCGCGTCATTGTTACCTGATTTGGGCGCACTGCATTTGAAGCACCTTTCCCTCCTTTTAAAGTTTTGCACTCCACACTGTTGAGATTTTTTTTACAAGCCTTTTTGTTAAAAGGACAAAAAAAAAAATCCAGAACCATCACTGTCATACATTCATGCCAATGTATCAAAACACAACCTTGTTGCAAAGCCAGTCCTCATTGGCTCGTGGTTTGGGGTTGCTGTAGTGCATCGACACTCGTTGTCCAAGAATCAACAGCATGCCCTGAAAGAAGGAGAGAGAGGGAGGGGGAACAGTGGATGATTATGAGCAAGAATTAGGCCAGACGCATTACAGTAAGGCCTCATCTCAGAGAATGAATGAGGAACACCAGAGAGGGAGAGAGGGAGACAAAGAAACCTGACCAAAGGACAGAGAATAGAGAATGGTGACCTTCAGCTTTAGGAAAGATTGTTTGATGCTGTCAGTTTGTGTGTTTTACTCCACTATTCACCTGATCCGGATGAAGTCGTACTAGTCAGTTGTCAAGATCAGAATAATAGCAGTGTTCAAAAAGCCAGTAAAGCTCAAAATCTTCAGAACAGCCTTTTCATACATCAGCCGCATTAAAATTAAAAAAAAAAAAAAAAAAAAAAACACTTAGCATTCTATATTTCAATTTAAAAAATGTTCAAATGTGGCTGGTCATTTTTCTTTACAAACTTAAAAACATTTACTCTATTAACTGGAAAAAACAACACCTAAAAGAGCCAGTGGCAGAGCATTTTGTGAACATATGGAAGAAGAAAGTATGACTGATCTTTTGGCAGTTGGTCAAATGATACGCTGAAGACAGTGAAGCATGCTATGAGAGCTGCTTCTCATACTGTGATGTCTTAACGGCATAGATCAATTTCAAAACATCAGAATAATTGGTGATCTTGTTTCCTGTTGTCGAGGAAATGCCCTTGAAAAAGAGCACCAACTTGGTTCCAGACCAACAAGATGAATGTTCTGCACTGGCCCAACCCAATCCCTAGACCTGAATCCAATCGCGCACTTGTGTGAGGACATTGGAAAAAAAATAAAAATAAAAAGAGATCTTTCTTGGACCCGCCCCCCAGCTCCAAAAAAATATAGATGAGATGTAGTCAATTGGTCCTGGGCAGGAATAGCAGTCCACGTTTGCTACAAATTGTTTCACTTGGTGCAACACAGATGTGAAGCACTTCTCAAACAACAACTTCATATTCAATGAGCCACAAGAATGCAGATTCTATCAGTATTATTCCAGGTAATACAGTAAACACGTGTCAACATAAAAAGAATAGCCAGACTGATATTCCGTTTTCTTCACTTTCTTTGAAGGGATAGCACACTTCAAATATTTTTCCTTTATGTTTTGATTCAACATAGAATGGGCAGTGTTCACAATACATTTCCACATATGGAAATAAAAGCTGTTTAGAGGATTTTGAGCGATACTCACTTTTCACTGACGGCCATTATTCTAAACACAACAGCACAAACCCATTCCAAAGACTGGATTTTAAACTACAGATAGAAAATAAGAACCAAAGATTTTTTTAGGCCAACTAAGTAATGTTTGGAAAGTTTACCCCAGAACAGTCTCAGACATGGTTTCCCCATGTATGAATCCGACGTAAGAATTACCTACCTGTCACACAAAACGATTCTTCATGAGCAAATGACATGCCATAATCTAACGTGAAGCTGGCGTGATGTGACAGTACATTTGTCTTGCCCATTGCATATATGTGCGTGTCATGTGTGTATGGGAGAGTGACCTGGTTGGTCTCCATCCAGCGGGTGGCCTCCTGTATGAGATTAAACTCGACGAAGGCGAATCCTCGGCTCTGACCTGGACACCGCCCAGCGCCATGGTTACCGAATAACAACAACAACATAACGCAGTGAGGGGTTAGTGCTTTGTGTACAGAGGAGAGAGAGACCCTGTAGCAGCACTAACAAAGTAAACAACCGCTCTCCCTTGGAACGAAGAGGCTTGACAGTCAGTTGGAGAGCCACTTGTTAAGATTCTCTGCAACGTGAGGAGGAGACTAGGTCCAGTATCTCCGTGGGCTCGCGAAAAGTGTGTGAGGGAGTGAGAGGGAGACTCCTTGCCACTCCTCACTTTAAGTCTGACCTATGTGCCAACACAGGTGACACACACATATCACCAAGTTTTAGAGTGCAGAAACTTGGGGGGGAACTCTTGCTGAATGGCCCGCTGTGGTTCTGGTATTGTTACCTTCCCGTATTAGTCAAATAATCAAACAAAGCAAAAATGGTTTATCTTAACAAAAGCAGATATTGTAATTTCTAGACTAAAAGGCGCTACTTTTTTTTCCCTGGCTTTACCCTGCGGCTTTAAATGTGACACGGTTAATTTCTAGATTTTCCCGAACAAGCTCTCGTCACATCTCACCAATTACCCAACATGGTAGAGTTGACCAATCAATCTTCATATCAGTCATTTGCGTAATATCAACTGTGAGTGTAAATAACGTCCCTTTATCGTCTGTGTTTTTATAATTTCAGATGTTCAAAAAAGTCTGTAAAGAAAAAAAAAAGCGTTTGCCGAGAATTACCTTAAAGAAACAGTACCAGCAGGTTCGCTTCAAAAGAGTACAAGTTCCTGACTCCATCAGGGCATCACTGCGCCACCATCACGAACTCTAATGTTTACAAGAGCAACTATTATTGCTCAAGTTTGCCAGTAAGGATGCTGACAGTGTGGAGCAGTGTCAATAAAATCCACTTTTTTACCAGCGGGCTTCGAAAGACTGACTGCAGCGTAATGAAGAGGACTGCACCAGATCGTTGGTGACGTTGCCTTGTATGACAACAAGAGAGACTGAGAAAGTGTGTAAGAAAGAACGGGGGCGGAGGCTGTTCTATTTCGACCCGTAATAAAAGTGGGCTTTACAATCATAATGACTTTTTCGTGAGGCGACTGTGAAACCAGCCATGTTCAGCATTGTTTGGAAAAAAGCATTTACTGGTGTTTAGGGCAATTAAGAGTTTTACAATATCCACCTGGGTGATCTCTTTCTTTGCAAAAGTCTCAGGTTATAACATGGAGACCCGCGGCTAATAAAGCAAAGCGGCCACTGAAATGATGGTAATCAGAAAGCGTGGGAAAAGGTAGAGAAATAGTGTGCGGCTTAATCTGATTCACAAGGTAACAAGTTATGGATACCTTTTTTGGTGTGATATATGTTACGCTCACAATACTACCACAGTACAACACAATACAATACATCCTGACTTATATAGCCCTTCCACAACAGTTGCAGAACCCGAAAACCGTGACAAGGTTCAACAGATAGCTTTTGTCAAGTCGTCCAGGAGGCTCGTAAGTGTTCTTTATGTACTTCCTCACACAGAGATGGCACGATGAATGACAAGAGTTTTTTTAAATGCGTATTTCTTTATTGACCTCTTTTGGGATTTGATTAAGTTGGAAAGGTTCCCTAATTACGGGTCTGGTGAATGTACTGTATGCTTAAAAATCAGCAGTGTGGTGTGCTTGTGTTTTTCCTGCATTGAAAACAAGGAATACAAGGATATGTTTGGTGCGCAATGTTATCATTAAAAAAAATAAAAAAAATTAATAATAATAATAATAATAATAAATACATTTTAGAAAACCCTAAGTTTAGAAAGTGTCTTGATCATAAAATGAAATGGCTAGCAAAGGATCCTCGTGGTACAGAGTGGGATTCATTACACTGGTCAACAGCAAATTTTAGTCAAAGATGTCTTTGTTTATCCCTAAACGTATTTTTGACGCAAATTTGAAATAAAATGTCTACTTTTTTTTCTGGCACATCAGATTTTGTTCAATATTTTCATTTCTTTTTAAATGTGACATGTAAAAGATTGCACAATGCAGATTTGTTGCTGAACCTTACCCTTAATTTACGTACATTACTATGTTCGACATTATTATTATTATTATTATTATTATTATTATTAAGACAACCTGTTGTGCTAGAGAAATACGAGGGTAGACTTAGAATGAACGCATGAAATTCATTTTAAAAAGTTTACTTTCATCATTTGCGGTAAAAAGTTGTTGACCAGTGTTATTTAAAAAAAAAAAAACCCTGAAGAGGAGAACAGACAATTCTTCTCACCTGAGGATTTGTTCCTCATGAGTCGAACCTCTTTTGGCTGGATCCCCTGCTCTTGAAGTGTTGCCCAGATCTGTCGACACATTTATGACATCACCATGGAGGGACAACAAGACGAAACCAGCAAGAAAGAAAGAAAGAAAGAAACACACACACACACACACACACACACACACACACACACACACACACACACACACACACACACACACACACACACACCTCATTGGCAGTGGCGTTGGGTGGCAGCATTCGAAGCATTACAATGTTGCTGGGCCTCTGATTGTAGTCCAGATCAGCACGGTAATCCTGGTCCCTTTGCTCCAACTCCTCATGAAACAGGTCTGGCTCACAACTACTCCGGCCTTGCTCCTCTGGCTCAGCTGGAAACATCTGGATTATCCATGACAAATGAGCAAATGAGAGCGGGCGGTTAGAAGTTACAATTGCGTTTCATCTTACACGATTCATTCCCGCTCGGTGAGAGAATCTGCCCTCCTCTTGGTGCCTGGTGAAGTTGGGCTCCATCTGTTCAGAACAGGCACCACCTTGGTGACCCCAGTTTCCTTCACCACTGCCTAAATGTAGGGTCGTAGTCTCGGAAAGGTTTCTGCCAGGTTTCCTCTTTCCCCTTCCCTCTGACCCAGTCCGTAGCCGTTCAAAATCTCTCTTGTACCTCGCCTCATCAAATCCATCAGTTGAGGACTGAGAGGAAGGAGGCCACAGGAGCCCTTTGGCCTCCTGAGCACCGTCCCCTCTCTGATGAAACCCTTGGCGATCTTGTAGGTGACCTGGCAAGACTTCAGAGGGGCACAGAGATGATTCGTTGTGGACATAGGGGCTGTCCTCCTCTTTATGGACATCACATTCTGCTTCTGTAGCCTCGTCATCTTGGCCAATACCACGGTAGTCCATGTCCTGAAAGTTGCGTTCATCATAGCTGCTCCCATATCGCCCCATGCGATCACCTCGCCCACCTCTGCTGAACACAGATGACACTTGGGAAGACTTGGTTGACAGCTACCTTTAATCACTAGCAAAAATGCAGGCAAAGGATAACTCACCTCAGCTCAGTATCCATCCTGTATCCACTTACGCTAGTCTCTGTCTTTGTTCATCAGCATGAATAATCTAAAGGTGTGACAACATTTGACTGGTTTTGAATGTGAGGCAAGCCTTGAATTCGTTAACATTGCAGTGAGACAGCAGGCTAGGGGTTTGTGTTTAATCAAATTAAACGTCTGCAAAAAATAATTTCAAGAACAATGGTCAACATTTTTGCAGATTTCCTGACGTGTTGGATGAATCATAATTATTTTGGAATAATGTCCTGCTTTTTAATAAAGGGATGGAAATGAAGAAATTAAAAAAATCGAATTCACCGATTAATTGTCAGTAACAGCAATTAAAGTAGTCATTAGTGCACATTGTATACAGTAGGTATTTGTGTATCTGCTGCTGATTCTCAATCACCAATCTTCACTCAAAGAGCCACAATCATGGTAGTGGATTTTGAATGATGACGGAACTACTGGTTTGTGTTATTCACCTTACCAAAATAAACCACTGCTGATGTAGAAAACATGTCCTAGTTGTAATCACAATTTACAATTTTATTTTTTTTAAAGAGAAAAACACATGTCTTGCAATACTCTAACATTTCCCAAATTTATAGTTGACAACCCCCCCTCAAAAACCTTTTGAGGGGGGGTTGTGAATAAAGGCCATTTTTCAAATCAATAAGCACATCTTTAGTCTATATTTTTCTATGATTCTGAACATTTAATGTAGATTGGTTAATCCAAAGAAACAATTTTTGGGCCCCTTGATGTTACTCGAACCCGTCATGTTGTCTGGTATTTTACTTTGCTTCCAATGCTCATTTCATGAGTTCTATCAAACTCGGTCAAACAGTTGCCCCTTAACTGTGCAATTTTTATTCTTCATAATGTACATTATCAACTTAGAGTGCTTGTTCTTTCTCAACAGTTAATGCTTTTTTTTCTTTGCATGTATGAGTGCCAAAATACCCCACTCATCACCTAACCATCATCGGAAAACTGGACATTGACCATGGTTTGAAACCTGGCCCACGACTTTCTAAAATATTGTCTGTGTTTAGCGAGCTTTTCGATAATGCCGACGTGAAGAGGGTTATTAACCCTTTCAGGGACAGCGGTTACTACAGTGGACAACTTATCATGCTTTCAGGTTACAGGGTGCATGAAAGAGTTAATGTAAGAAACTCGAATACAACAAGGTCACCTAAAATCTCCATTCCTACTTTTTGTTTTGCATTGATACGTGTAGGCCAAAAATTGGCGCATTTTAACAGGTTTATACAGTGGTAACTTTCTTAATATTTGTCACAGCAATATAATACTTGTACCGCTGGAATAAATTTTACACAAACCGACATAGTACTACGTAAGGCGTGTACTCAGGTAACCTCACGTTAAAATGTTGTCACCGGGTTAGCTGGTGCATTTATGTACAAAGACTGCAAGGCGAGGGTGCAACCCTGCACCAAAGTGAGGAATGCTTAAGACGTACTCATAATATAAGCACAGAACCTTTCAAGAAATATTCAACAATGACGTATGGCGGTCGTCTTTTAGCCAACATGCTAACTACTGTGAAACATGCTAGCAAGTTGTTCTCGATGGTGTCAGTCGTCGCAGACATGGCAACAGAAAGATGAAATTTTTTTAAAGACTTACCAATTTTTTATAAAGCCGACGCTCACTAAATTAACACGTCAGCGCCCTAATTAAATTGAATGTTTTTATTTCGAGCAAACGCTAGAAAATGGCCACAGTGAGGTAATATTTCAGTGGGACGGAACAGCGCCCCACTCTAGCCTGTGATTGGACAGCAGCTACACTAAAGAGGGCGGTAATTGGACGAAAAGAGGGCAAATATGATGTGACAGCCAATCACCACAGAGACATAGTACAGACGCGTGCTGTATAGCGAGTGGTACTAAAGCAGTGGTGTCAAACATACGGCCCGCGGGCCGGATCCGGCCCGCAAAGGAGTTTAATCCGGCCCGCGAGATGATTATGTAAAGCATGGTGTCAAACATACGGCCCGAGGGCCGGAACCGGCCCGCAAGGAGGTTCAATTAGGCCCGCAGGATAATTTAAAAGTGAAAAAAATTTATTAAAGACAGAATTAATATTTTTAATAAGGTGCAATTCATTGAGTATCCGCAAGGGGACACTGTTTTGATCAGAGAAGAAGACAACAGCAGCCTCAGTCCGTCACTGAGACAGACCCATGACAGCAGACGCTATCAATAGCACTCTCACATTTACACATTTAATAGCACTCTCCTTAGTTTGTAAGATTACATTTAGATTTTATATGCACGTGTAAATGGTTTAAAACTTCCTTTCTTTATGAATCTCGTTTAATCTTAAAGTGCATTACTATATTTTTCAATATCAATTACTTGTTAATGTTTGTACAATCAGTGGGATCATTTGCAATGCATTTATGTGAATGATAAAAGTAAATTGCACATTTGTCGAAGGAAATGTAAGGTGCTTCATGAAATATTTTGTAAAAGATATGTTCATTAAATTTCAACATTTTCCTAATGTTCTTGTGCTTCTTTATACCAAAACAAAGGAAAGACATTGTTTTGGTTATTTATAGCAAAGTATGGTATTATTTTAATGGTCCGGCCCACTTGACATCTACCGAGGCCGTATGTGGCCCACCATGTGAAATGAGTTTGACACCCCTGTACTAAAGGATGATTGCGTTGTTCACATCAAACTTTCTAACACAAAACAAACTTGGAATTTGGACTAGATAAAACTAATATAGCGGGTAGCTGTCAAATTGATCTCTCTAGAAAGATTATACAAATCAAAATTTAAAACGGTACGTGTCTTGACAACATGAGAAATCGGACTGTTTTGGGGGTGATGGTCCTTTTTAATGCAACTATGCCACTGCTCAGCCCACTCGGATCTTTTACAGAAAATGCAAGTCCGGTCCAGTTGCCAAATTTGTCACGATTTTACTCCAAAATCCAAAAAGTAACTCGCAACATCAGTTGCTGCTTGTCAACAGACAGCTCAGGAAAGATCTACTTGGTTGTGGAATTTCACGAGATGAGTGGGAAAGCGCACCAGACACCCATCCATCCATTTTATGATCCGCTTATCCTCACAAGGGCAGTAGGCGGGGGACACCCTGAACCGGTTGCCAGCCACTTGCAGGGCACACAGAGACGAACATCTGTGCTCACACCTAGGTACAATTTAGAGTGTTCAATCAGCCTACCACACGTTTTTGGAATGTGGAAGGAAACCGGAGTATCCGGAGAAAACCCACACAGGCCCGGGGAGAACATGCAAACTCCACACAGGGAGGCCGGAGCTGAAATTGAACCCAATACCTCTGCACTGTGAGGTCGACGCGCAAACCACTGGTTCGCCCAACTACAGGTATTAGGATACAAGCTGTAAAAATGCCAAATTTCCATGGATTACTTTTAAAGAGAACATGCACATCAAACAGAAAAGCCCAATACCAGCTTTATTTGAAGAAACAAAATATTCCAAGCAGTCACAATTCAAAAACAAATGACAAATATCTGATAACCCACCCTTCCAAAACCTCGCACCCCAAGCTTGACCCCTTCAATGAATTAAATGACACTATGCTTCTCGGGTATGAGCTAAACGTATAATAGCACGATTAATTGAGAAATGAAACAAAGAAAATAAGAGTTAATATTAAAACATCTAAAAAGAAGAGTGACAATCACGGAATTCTGATAGTCAAAAGTAAACGCATCTTTAAAATGTCCTTACAAGGCCTTGCGAGACATACAGTACATCTTGACATTTTTTGTAATAAACTGATGCATTAGAAATAATATTCGATTTATCAACCACACCACTCATGATTTTAACCACTGATTAAAACAATCAAATCTTAAGTGTGCGCACACACAAAGGTCCTAAAATTCACAAGCTCCTTAACCTGATTGCACCTCTACTTACATATGGTCGTTCATCACATAGAGGTTTGAATATCCCTCTTGAGAGGCTGTTAATTCCTTTACTGGCTGCAGCCACAAAATATGGCTTTCAGGAGTAACTTTGGCATGGAAATAAGGGGTTTCGGTCAGTGTCACAGAATACCTTTCCATGCACTAGTATGTCATAGACAACAGAACAATGTACACACATTCACTGCATGCAGACCTGCACTGGAGAAAATGAAGCACCATATTTGCCACACACTCAATACACTACTGTATAGTTATGTTTTTAGGGGAATAGGTGGAGGGGGGGTCTCTCTCATACATCTGGTATAGGCATCCCCTGCATAGCGCCCGAGTCAGAACATAGGCAAACAACAACAGAGATAAAACACTACACTACAAATGAGAAATGACACCTCATCCAAGTAGTAAACGTTTTCCTCTAAGCTTATGCGGGCCTACTGCTGCTCTCAAGGCACTATGTGGAGGTGACACTATCATTAAAAACACTTGGGCACGGTCTTTACTCAAAACCTTTTGTATATCACTTATTTGACCTGACAAACGTCTCGATTAAGGTCACCTATCATGGCACATTTTAAACCCTCGATTAATGTACTTAAACCCTTCCTCCCTCCCTCCCCATCGGTCATCTGACCTCTCAAAGGTTCTCATTAGAGCCAAGTTATACGGTATATACAGGCCAGGGACCAAAGCTTCAAGGTCTATCAATTTACATTTAATCTGCCTAAGCTTGCTGATGTGCGATCAGAAATTGTGTCCGAACAAGTTTTTTTTTTTTTTTGGGGCCCTCCCCAACATCAAATTCTCAATGCAAGCTCTGCATCCGCACTTAAAGGGTGACTTTCCGTTGTGCCACTGCCTATAGCAGAAGGCAGATGTGCTTATTGCGACGTTTCTTGGCCTGCAACGCGGCTCGAGTTGCCATCTCAAAGACTTCTCGCACACCATCTTTGGTTTTGGCAGAGCACTCCTGGTAGCCACAGGCACTGATGCGGTTTGCCATTTCCTTGCCATCGTCACATCTAACTGGCTCCTGTAAAAGATGATGTCGACAATAACCACTACCCCAAAATAAATACAAAAATAATAATAATAATAATAATAATAATCCTTCACCTGTTTCATTTTTGCAAGCTCCCGTCTGGTGTGCTCGTCATTGCGCAGATCTTTTTTATTACCCACAAGGATGATGGGAACATTCGGGCAGAAATGCTTCACTTCTGGTGTCCACTTTTCTGGAATGTTCTCTGCCAAGAAATGAAGAGCCATCAGCAATTTACGTTACAAGAATCTGGTAATGGATCAGGATGCAAGTGTTGAACAAAGAGTAGTACCTAAACTGTCCGGACTGTCGACGGAGAAACACATGAGAATAACATCTGTGTCAGGGTAGGAGAGAGGCCTCAGTCGGTCGTAATCTTCTTGCCCCGCTGTATCCCAAAGTGCTAGTTCTACCTGAAATGAAAATGAAAGAAGATGAACATCTGAAAACAGAGGTTGTGTCCAAATTCACACTCGAAAGGCCGGATTTGAAGGCCACATGACATAACTTGGTCCACGACCCAGCCTGAAAAGGGTGAAACATGCAGGCTACGAAGTTGGACAGTTTTTGAGAGGTACAGCGAATCCAACTTCTGGAATGATGGAAAAGCACACTTGTATCTTTAAAATGTACAGCCCACTGTATGTCAAACAACAGGGCCAAACACAACTGAACTGGACAATCGCAAAAAAGAATACGGTCAGCGACTGACCCTCCCACACATGACTAGTTCGCTGCAAGGGGAAAATGGCATGTTGTTCTTATTGGGATACATTTGGCGGTTCCACTACTTTCTATTTCTACTTGAACTACAAATGGTGTGATATTCAATGAAGAAGCGGCTTGCTCTGTTTGCTGCATTCTGATCTTACTAAAGAGGAGACACGGCCCATAAATAAAGGCAAGAGAGTGGATATTCAAGAGGCTCTTGGCAATGACTTTGGCCAATTTCGGTAACAGGGACTCTACACGCTTCACTTTTTCATGAAATTATAATGACGCATTAGTATGAAAGAAAATATAGATAAATATATTGTATATATGGTTTTGGTAAGGCTTAACTGTGGCCAGCTGCATCTCATCTCATTTTTGTGTTGAAAGCTCATGTGATAAGACTGAGTGTTTTTGATTGGCTGTTACATCTTCTATGTTGCAAAAATATTGCCCTGCAATTTAAATTTTGATTTACATCAAAATTAAAGGCCAGTTGTCACTCATGAAAATTAGTTGCAGAACGATGCACAACGTTGCTTTTCCTTAAACAATGTACTCAAAGAATCCACTGCAAGATGGGGGCGTTGAACTCCTCCATCTGGAAATTTGACAGCTTCCAAAGTAGTAACAAAGGTACAACAGAGGGTGAGCACCGCAAGCAGCGACTACAGTGTGAAGTTTAAATCCAACACTGATGTCACCAAGCATCTAATTGTACTGATGGGACAACCTGCTTTGCCTTTGTGAACATGCCCTTTGGACATGGAAATGTCTGTGAGGGACAAAGGGACAAGCGAATGAACCTAAACTACACTGTTAAGACCTCTAATGCGACAATTTACCAGGAATGCTAAGCAACAGTTACTTGCTCGTGAGTCTGCAAGGAAGAATGGGGGTCGGAACAGTCTGGGGGTGTGTATAAAGTATGTAGGCCAGCCTTCCTCAACTGGCGGACCGCGATCCATGACCGGACCGCCGACCTCCTCTGTCCGGACCTCCTCTGTTCGGACCTCCTCTGTTCGGACCCTCGGCAAATTGTATAAAATAATAAATTATGAAGTGATTTTTACGTTATACATTTTATATTTGTGGACTATAATCTGCGCATTACCGCGATCGCTTGTTATAATTATCTGTTGTATTCTTTGCGTGCATTAACAGATGTAATGCAGAGGACCGCAGCAGCGCGACTGTGTGTTGTATAATGTTTGACCAACTGGAGACCCTGGCTGAGCAGGGCATGTCGGCGATAACGATGCGCTGATTGGCTCCTTTGAACTTAAGGTGTGCCCATACATAAGCGTCAGCATATACAATGCGCTGATTGGCTCCTCTGAACTTAAGGTGTGCCCATACATAAGCGTCAGCACGCGTCTATCCCGGAACACACGCATTCAAAATGGATGATTGTGTCAGGAAACAGACGCATGCGCGACGTCACAGTGTGCTCACAGCTTCATTCCAGGAGAGCCGCACACAGACAATTAGACAAGACGAATCGCGGGAGGTTTCGATTGTGTGCAGTTTTGCTCCCGTCTACCCGGGGATCTTTGCAGCTGTTTAACAGCAGAACACCGCAACATGGTAAATGAACATCACAATGGCGTCCTCAAATAATATTTGCATGCCTCAGACATTGCATTCACCTTTAGTGGAAGAACAGTACTGCACATTCCTGTGCTCCTTGTTTTCATGTTTAGTATTTATTTTGGTAAAAATGAGTATTTTGTTTTGTTTTTGTTAATAAAATAAGGGGGGAAAAAGACAACTACTGTTTAACAAAGTTAAAGTAAAAATGTCTTATTTCCCTAAAAGGGCTATTTCTATTATTAAGCAGGCACAACTTAACAAAATAAAAGAGTTCCTGTGCCTCAACACAATACCTCTCATTATTTGCTGTGTACTGGCAAAGTGAATAATTGTTATTTTCATGCACCCCATTATTGGTTGGTTGTGAGGAGTGTTGATTTGTATAAGCTTGGCTTGACCATACTAAATGGGCATATAGCCCTGCTCCCCATGACCGCCGTGCATGGGACCGGACCTTGGTCTTAGTAAAAAAAAAAAATAAAAAAAATAAAAAAAAAAGTGGACCTACAGCATTTCTAGTTGAGGACCACTGATGTAGGCTATCCATCTGTACATTTTTGGTTGCCTCAATTTCAGAAGAGAGCCAAGTGAGCTGGAGCCTATTCTAGCCAACATTGGGCGGGAGGTAGAGCGTTGGACTGTTGGTCAGCTAATTGCAGGGCGCATACATCAACAAACAACCCTTCAGACTCACACCTGTGAACAATATAGGGCCTTCAATTACCTTGCAAGCATTAACAAATTTGGAACTGGAAAAAAAACCCTCCTAGCTAAGCCGCAGCAGATGTTCAAATGCTGAACCTTAGAACTGTGTGGCAGATGTGCTACCCCGAACTATTTTTTTTCATCCTCTCAAAATACAGTATATATTTGGTGCTCCAGATATTAAAATCAATGTCTCACCTGTTTGCCATCCACTTCAATGTCAGCCACATAGTTTTCAAACACTGTGGGGACATAGACCTCTGGGAACTGGTCCTTACTGAAGACAATGAGCAGACAGGTCTTTCCACATGCTCCATCTCCAACTATGACCAACTTTTTCCTGATAGCAGCCATCTACAGGAAGGATTTTACAACACTGTTAGGTGCGGGGGTTGCTTTGTTGTCAGTTTCAATCCTCTAAGCGCTGTTATATGGAGCATTGCTGTAAAGTATTAGAAAGTGCACGCAGTACTGCATGATGCAATGTAATTGGACATCGCAGAAAAGTGGTTCGTCAAAATTATGTTTTGTTGTTATTGTTGTTGTCATGGTAGAATAATGACACTGCTTGAAAATTGGACAGTCACATTGCGCAGGTGCGGTTAATATGTTGTCCAGTATGTGACGGAAGCTAAACGTCCCAAAAACATCTTCCGCGTCTGTAATCATGGTATACGGCCAAACCACAGTGTGATCCTTATAGCTATTATCACGCAAAAGACAATGTTTTGAAAAATACAAGGCCACCATCGTACAATTTCCAACCGAAAGCCATCTGTTGTGTTGACAGACAACTTCAGACCACTTTTTTTTTTAATTGGCCGGGGGTGCCAAAGCGACTTTCGGTTTCACAAGGATGGTTTCTTCGACAATCCGGAGGTTCACGGAGAAGAGTAGACGCAGAATTGAAAGTATTTCCGTACGGCGTCCCTTTCTTGAAGTGTACTGTAGCCTGGGCCTGTTAATCCCGCTAACGTTAGCAAGCAGTGAGGCTAATGCTTCGATGGTAGATGTATTACATATTCGGCATTCATTGTATACGTTCTGACATGAGGTAAACATATAACGAAACCTCATCGTTGTACTTGTAGTCAGTACAAGAGACTCGTGTAAAGTTTGAAAGCTGTCGCTGGAAAGAGTTACCGCTTGATGTTTCTGCGTCCGCCTTTCCTCCTCTTCCTGACCGAATCGTTGACTCCGCCCATCATTCAAGCGCATGCGCGTAAGACGTCACTTTTCAGGAAGAAGGTTGTCCAACGTTTTCGGGGGATTTTTATCTTCTGTGGTTATACTTTCCCTCAAGGGGAATTATGACTGTCAAACCATGTAGATTATACTCAAATTTAAATCCTCGTGGGTACTGTGTACCATTTGATTACGCCATTACATCATGCAGCTGTGATGTTAACGGGCATCATCAATTATCATGATCATAATTATTATTATTACACCTACGGACAATTTAGAATGTTCAGTTAACCTACCATGCGTGGTTTTTGTAATGTGGGAGGAAACCGAAGTACCTGGAGAAAACCCACGCAGGCACGGGGAGAACATGTAAACTTCACACAGGAATGCCAGAGCCAGAATCAAACCCATAACCTCTGCACCGTGAGGCGGATGTGCTAACCAGTCGACAATCATGCTGCCCTTATTATTATTATTGAAAGCACACTTTTCATGAATATGGCAAAAATGTCACTCAAATACACAGATAGAACACTTTAAAATACTTGCATCTAACTGCATGTTTTGTTGTTACCGTTTTGTTCCTGCCACACATCTCATGAATGTGGCCTGTGACACAAGGCATTTCAGTAAGGTGGCCTCTCAGCCTGAACACTGTTAGAAACTATGTAGAAGGACTACATAGAGTCAAAACGAGACAAAGAATGCACACTACAGTGGATGGTTGGATAAGTTTCAGGGATAAATGGTAGGAAATGGATCAATTCATGTGAATACAGGTGTTACAATGAAAGTCTATCTACAATGCCGCTTGTCTTCAATAGGGTTGTGGGTGAATTGGAAGTCTATCCCAGCAGACATTGCGCGAGAGACGCAATACCCACAAGTGGTCATCAGCCATTTGCTGACCATGTATACACAATTAACAGCCTTCAATGAACTTAACATGGATGTTTTTGGAATGTGAGAATAACCAGAGTACCTTAGAGAAAATACACACAAGCACAGGGAGAACATAGAAACTCAAGAGGTAAGCAGAGCTCAGATTTGAACCCTAGACCTCAGAACTGTGAAGTAGGTATGACAGTCGAACATAAGGCTACGAAAATGTATGTGGTCACCAAAACAAAACATCAATATTGTGCCATTTGTAAAAAACGTGTTCAAAACTATTTTTGTCCAGGTTTGCATGTGAAAAGTCACAGTCAAAAAGATCATGCTTTGAATCTCTAGCCTTTCTGCGTTGAGTTTTGGCAGAAACTCTTGATCCCATACTATTCACTCCCCATGCTTGCATGAGTACTCTCGGCATCCTAATTTCCTCCTGCATCCCATTCACTTATTTGAACACTTCAATCGTTACTTTCAATTTATGACATTGAAGTGATTGGGCCTGAAGTGAAATTGAAATTGTGCGGCCCCCATGCTTGTCAGCGTATTTTCCAAGTACAGTACTAAAGACTTCGCATATCCCAAACACATTCATGTTAGCTTCACTGAAGACTCTATTTTGTACATACGGTAGGTATGAATGTGAGTGTCAATGGTTGTTTGGGTTCTTTACGTGCAAACAGTTCATGGTTCAACCCGCCAAGAGTCAGCTAAGTTAGGTTGCTATCTACCAATGACATAACATATGATAAGCACAATCAAAGTGAATCGATGTGAATTTGCTTTAAAACATTTTTTTTAAAGTGGACCTTTATTCCTTTTTTCTATTTACACCCACTTCCACAGAATGGTGGCATAAAGATTGGAAACAAAATAATATAATATTATGACACGATTGGGCGGCACGGTGGGCGACTGGTTAGTATGTCCGCCTCACAGTGCAGAGGTCATGGGTTTGATTTTGGGCCCCGGCCTTCCTGTGTGGAGTTTTCATACAATACAATACAATACAACACAACATTATTTGTACAGTGCATTTCACAACAGCTGCAGATGTAACAAATCACTTTCCAAATAACATAAAACAACAATAATACAACAACAAAAGAAGTTGAAAACCGTAAATTAACTCACAAATTAATAAGACTAACAAATATACAAAAAATACCAGAGATCAACAGAACATTGTCAGTCTCCTGTTGGGTTGAAAGTCAAGGAAAAAAGATGTGTCTTCAAATGAGTTTTAAAAATGGACAGGGAGGGGGATAGCCTAACATTTAATGGCAGGTCATTCCAGAGGGAAGGACTGGCAACAGAAAAGGCTCGATCCTCTCTGAGGTTGCACTTAGTCCTCAGCACCTCCAGTAGCGTCTGGTCCGCAGACCTGAGGCATTAGGCAGGTGCGTAGCGGTGGAAGAGCTCAGGGAGGTAAGCTGGGGTGAGGCAATTTAAAGATTTGCAAACAAATAGAAGTATCTTAAAATGAAGTATCTTAAAATGGAGTCTAAAATACACTGGGAGCCAGTGAAGGAAAGCCAGAATTGGGGTTATGCGCTCCTTCTTAGAAGCTCCAGTTAGGAGGTGAGCAACAGCATTTTGCACCAAATGGAGACGCTTGAGGGAGGACTTCCTGATTCCAAAAAAGTGCATTACAATCATGTAGCCAAGACGTGATAAAGGATCACCGTTTCACTGCTGCTGGGAAAGGAACGGCTTTACCTTTGCCAGTTGCCTAAAATGAAAGAAGCTGGATTTAACATCAGTACCTAATTGCCCCTCCAATTTAAAATCACTGTCCAATTTAAAACCCAAGTTCGAGACAGTTGGCTTTATATAAGACTCCAGGGGGGCCCAGGTCAGCAGGGTGGGATGTACAAGGGACCAAACACCGTAACTTCTGTTTTCTTTTCATTGAAATTTAAGAAATTCAGTGACATCCATCCACGCTTTAATTTCCTCTAGACAGGGCAAAAGTGGTCTGAAGGACAATGCATTCTTTTTGCTCAGCAGGACATAGATCTGTCGGTCATCCACATACCAGTGGAAGAAAATACCATGTTTTCTTTGGATGGAACCTAAAGCCAGCAAATACAGTGAAAAGAGTGAGGGCCCCAAAATAGAACACTGTGGAACACCATACGACAGAGGGGCAGTACGGGACTCAGACTGTCAAACCACTCTAATGCCCACCTGGTCCTGAAAACGAGCCAGCAGAATACTGTGGTCCACTCTACCGAATGCTGCGGTTAGATTCAACAAAATGAGACACATTTAGTATCCGGTCTCATTTGCCCGGAGGATATCATTAAAAACTCGGAACAGGGCTGACTGTGCTATGCATCATCTTGAAAGCTGACTGGAAAATCTCCATGACAGTGTGCTTATCCAAGAAAGAGTTTTACTGTGTGTACCACTTTTTCCAGAATTTTTGAAATAAAAGGCAGCCTGGAAATTGGTCTAAAATTAGTCATCCCATCTTGATCAAGGCCAGGTTTCTTCAGCAGGTGTTGCACTACAGCATGTTTAAAATGTTGGAGGGCGACACCAGAAGACAGACTGCTGAAACCAATTGACCAATACTGAGGAAAACCTCCTTATAGAATTGAGTCAGAAGGGGAGCCGGATGGCTTAATTTGGCAAATCACATCCTCCAAAAAAGTGAAAGAAACTGCTTCAAAGGAATCCCACACTGTAGAACAAAGAACGTGGACAGAGGGGTCAAATCCGGCATTCACAACAGGAGCGCTGTATCAATCTTGTCAATGAAAAACTGCAAAAATCTATTGCACATTTTAGGGGATGATATGTGCAAATAGGCTGACGGGTCTTAAGTGCAGAATCGATAGTTTTGAATTGAGCATGTGGATTATGATGATTTTCCTGAATAAGATTTGACACATGTTCCTTTTTGGACACTTTCAATTGGCTGACAAACGGTTCAGGGTGTACCCTGCCTACTGCCGGGTGACAGCTGTGATAGGCTCCAGCACGCACGTAACCCTCATGAGGATAATACTGTTCAGATAATGGATGAATGGAAATGCCACGATTGTATGATAGTTCCATGTCCTTGAGATCTTGAGCAGAGGTACTTGATCTTATCCAGGATGAATCTTGTCAATCATGAAAGCTTTGCTTCAATGTTCACATGCAGGCATCACAATTTGGGCATAAATACTCTGAAGGAAAATCAGCTGTTTTATCCCCCACTCTCTTCAGATTCTTCTCCTTGACAAAATCATTTCTTCACAATGCCCCCACCACACACACACACACACACAAACACACACACACACACACACACACACACACACACACACACACACACACACACACACACACACACACACACACACACACACACACATTGTGGTCCCGATTTATCTAATCTGCCTCTTTAACTGCACATTTTCTTGGGATTGAAAAATTGATGAATGTGAGCATGGCTGCATCGCATTGGTTTCCGTGGTCCTTGACGGTAAAAATGTCTCTGACTGCCTTTCAGGGGTCTATTTCCTTGTAGTCATGGCGTTGTTACTGCGTTGATAGAATAACACGTAGGCTTGATTGGTCTGAAGCTGCGTCTCAGAAATCGCTGACACACTGTGGGTGGACAGTGATAAATCATGAGAAAGAAGCTGCTCCAGTTTAGGGCAAAACGTGCAGTAATACAAGTGCATGCAAGATAGTAATGAGAAGTAAAAATGCATTGCAGCTCTGTAAATGGGTAGAACATTGCATAGAAGAAAATGTTTTGCAGTCTCACCTGGAGTCATTGTAGTAACACCATCCATTCTCATCAGAACAACAGGCTGTGTAGTGACCCATGTTGACAGTCCCCACATGGTTACATATTGCATATAAATCATACAACACTGCTCCTTTAGGGACATACAGAGACACAAAGATGATTCTTTCAAATTCTAACAGATAGATACATTACAAAATAAAAATCTGTTGGACTGTCCCATATTTTACAGACAGCTTACATTTTTGTGTACTTTTCTTTCCTTTCAACGACAGTGACACACACACAGCTCACTTCCATATAAATGGAAGTCTTACCACAGTCAATAGGTCCGTAGGGCCCAAGGTCAAGGTTGGTGAGTGGGAAGGACACATAGGTTGTGCTTTTACTGATCGACCACCGTGATGTCGTGAAACGGTTCAGATCTAATGGAGCGTGTTAAGTGTCATAGTGATGTCATTCACGTAAGCAAGCTGGTTAATCAATAAGAAGTATGGTTGAGGATACGTATCACAATAACGTGGGGGAACCTCTGTATGGACAGCCGCTTGGTGCTTTCTGTATGCCTGTTGCACCTCTCGCACATCTGCAACACATACACTTGAAAGTAAATTGCAAACAAGCTCAAAGAAAATTCCTCGCTTCGTCATCTATGTATAAAGCCCTCCGTTATTCATCAGCTTTGCTTTCATATTTTTTGTGCGAAATGGGTGTGGGATTGCAGGTATGACAATTTCTGCCAGGTTTTAGTGCAGCTCCTATCAAAGGAGGTTGTAATAACATGTGTGGAATGTGGGCTGGCTTTGTCTTTAGGAAATAAGCAGGAATGCCTCAGCGGTGTGGTTGCCACATGTTATGACAACACACACCTCCATTCACGTTCACATTCAGTGAGTGAGCTATAAAAGCCACCATTGAAATATACTCAATAGCTCATAGTGCTACGTGAGTGGTCAGAGGTCAAAGTTGCAATTCACATGGAGAGTGCCTCACGAGTCACAAATTAAAAACGTATTCGTTCTGTAATGTTTGTTATTTGTGGTGCTTTCAAGGTTGATGTGAAGATCTATCACGAGTGTCAAACTTATTTTAGTTCTAGGGTTAGTTTGAGACCTCTGCTCTGTAATGCAGTATTATATATTTCATTCATTTTCACTGAAAATACCTAACACACAGTATAAAGAACTAATTACTTGTCAGTCCAGTGATCCCTTTTCAATTCTCCATGAACTCACTGGTGAATTCTCCTTGTCCAGTCTCTCCTCCTGAGAGAAGAGATCCAGGCACTCCTTCAGCGTCACCTCTCCAGTTGTGCAGCGTTTGGGGATGGGCAGCGACAGGTCGCAGAACACATCGAATGTGTTGGAGTAGTGAGAGCACACGGAGCAGTGTAGCGAGCTGCGCAGCTGGCCCGAGAACAGATCTGTCAGGAGGTCCAAGGCAGTTCGTCGTCACTTAATTGTGTCAAGAAGGAAAAGATGACGCCAGCGTGATTCTTACCGACGATCTTGCTGTCATCGTTGTCTAAATGCTTCTTCCATGTTGCAGCTGCCTCTTCAGAAATCCTGAGAGGGTTTTAAATGAAAGGAAAATCATCCAAGAGTCATGACTTTTTGAAGAACCTACACACTCACCTAAATCTGGCATATTTTTGCTCGGGGTCCTTTAGTGGCCGACGATTGTAGGGCTTGCGGTTGATTTCAGTATGTAGCTTTTCTAAAAGAAACCTGAGAAACTCCTGAGCATCCTGCTGACTGGAGAGACACGAATCAAACAAACAAAAACACACTTTGGATCGGCAATACTGTAATGTGCAATTCCCCCCCAAAATAAATAAATTACATTAAAAAAGTGAGCATGCGTGCGTATGTGTGTGGTATAGGGAGTTGTGGGAACATGTGGTGCAGGGATCCGAAACATTATTAGCTCCAACATCGAATATAAATTCTTCTTTTTGCTTAAATAAACTGGTAAAAAAGAACATTGAAAATGTAACCCTCGTTGTAAAAGAGAGCTTAAAGTCAAAATAGAAATAAAGCAACATGTACAGAATTCCTACCTATAACCACTGAAGTAAGGCACAGTGTCTCTGAAAATATTGTAAAACTGTCTTGGATTTACAACCGTGTCCTCTTCTTTTGAATTCCAAAGTCCGGACAATACCTGAGAGAAAGCTTGTATTGAAGGACAATAAAAATAAGTAAAAAGGAGCATGTAACCATGCAAATGAATGATGGATGATTGGAGGACTTACCTTCTGTGAGTCTAGGCTCCTCCTTGGAAAATTTGTCATGTTTGTAGGACTTTAAGAGGCAGTAGTCCCGCAGGCCGCGAGTGTGAGACAAACACTGGACTATTGCGTTCAAGAAACACTGAACAGCAGACAGACAGCAGAGTAACCATGCTGACCCCAAATAATGCTATGGGAAGAAAACTCTTCACTTACCGTGTTGCCTATGTTTCTCAGACCAGACCTTCCACTTCCTAATGCGAGGAGCACCTTCTGAAAGAGAAAAAAAAAAAAAAAAAAAAACGATGAGAATAAGAAACAAGCACACTAATTTGTGCATTGCATGATTTGACCTCTGTGCATCTTAACCGCAGCGTGTCAGTGCGTCTATTTGTGTGCATGCTTGGACAGATTTAGCCTTATCTCATTAGCAAAACAAGAAAGTCTAAAAGGAGGTCAGTGACAAACATTCATCCTATTAGAGACCAAGGAGTGCTGACAGGTGCTTAAACACGTGTATGTTGATGTGCAGCACGGGACTGCAACTTGCGGCTCTGGAGCTGCACATGGCTCTTTCATTTGCTGTGGTTCTTTGTGACTTATGGAAAACAAACATTACACTGTTCATTTTTAAAATATAATCTTAAATTTGAAGACCATGGTGCTTGTGTAACATTAAAAAAAAAACAAAAAAAAAAACTTCATTTTGTCGCTCAAAATATGTTTTACAAGCGCCAATGTCTGACACTGGGCACCGAGATTTACTGAGGTATTCGACTCCGGGTAGGCACACCATAAGTAAATCCAAGGAAAGAAAAGTTTCTGAAGAAAACACAATGCTGGACATGACCAACAATAAAAACAAACATCGCGCGCGCCTCACAGATGACATCTTACAATTGTGTACAAAAATTAAGTTGATGCCATACAGCCCTGCCATGCTGATGCTCTATATCAGGGGCCTCAAACTCCGGTCCTGGAGGGCCGCTGTTCTGCATGTTTTCCAAGTCTCCCTGTTGCAACACACCTGATTCACTGATTCAAATGATCAGATCATCAGCAAGCTCTGCGGAAGCCTGACATTGAACCTGTTCATTTGAATCAGGTGTGTTGCAACAGGGAGACTTGGAAAACATACAGGACAGCGGCCCTCCAGGACCTGAGTTTGAGACCCCTGCTCTATACTGAGGATCAGTAGCAAAAATCATATCAACCAGGTAAAATAAATATTCAAATTGGCAATTATTTGGCAAATATAGAAACGATAGTAGGTTTTACATTGTTATGTGAAATAGTCCTTTTTAATTCAAGTTGACAGTTGACCGTATGCTTCACGTGATAAAATGATGACGGAAGACAACAGTGTTGGTTTGCTCCATGGTGGAAAAGCATGACTTTGATTTCATGAACACGAGGAGGACCCAAATAAACTGTGACTATTTTATTTGAAAGTAAGCTTCAACCAAGCGTCCTGTTTCAGAGTTCAAAGTGTTTTAGCAGTTCACTGTTTCCTGAATGTAATATATATATATATATACACATACACATATTTGCAGTTTAAACCTCACTTTAGATGTCAAAAGTGTTTTGCGTTGTTTTTTTCTGTGGCAAACATACAATATGACTGATTAGGCTCATTTAAGTTTGCCTACCCTCATGCAGTCCTCAAATGGACAAAAGGAGGATTTGTTCCAGTCTGCATTATTGTGTGGCACACACCTCATTGTCGGCAACCAGCAGAAGCCCCATCAGGGAGGTATAGAGGACAGACTGCGAAATATCAGCTGTCTCTCTCTGCAGGCCGTTCTGGGACACCAGGTTTCGACACAAGGACTTGCAAGAACCCTCCTGGTTGGCGCCGTCGGCTCCAGGCATTCTGACGTGTCTACCACTGAGGCTCTCAAGCAGGGGGGTTGTTCTTTCACATGCGGGGTGAAGGTGATGGCAACATGATGGCAGCTCATAAGCCTCCACAGAGAGAAAAGTCACCCCTTTTTTAACAAATGAAGTACATCAGGGTATTATTGCCTTTCTTTGGAACTGCAGCTGAAAAACAGGATTAAGTATAAAACGAGCATCCCCTTGATTTAAGTCTATTCCTCCGATAAATCCAGCTGATCCGTTGTGACTGGAGGTCCTTCTTCGTCTTGCAAAGCAAATTGAATCAGAGTCTAACTATTAAGATCAAAATATTGTTAAATTGTTTAACAAACACTGGATATTAAGTCATGCTCTTACGCGTTCGAGAGTTTTGAGAGAATCAAGCATTCCCAATACCTGTTAAATATCATTAGCCTCGGTAAATAAAAAATTTGGACTCACCTGATCACTTGACCGAGCTTATCTGCGAACAAAGAGTCCCGACCTAAGCGTTCCCATCACCTGCTGAGCTTTTAAAAATGCATAGAGGGGATGTGTCTACTGTTTCACTGTGTGCTGTGTGCATGCGTGTGTATGTGTGTGCACGCGCGTTTGTGTGTGTGTGTGTGCTGGCTAGAAATGAAAGTCTACCTCTGTCGTGCCCTGTCACTGATGTCAAAAGAAAGAGGGAGAAGGGGAGCGAGAGAGAGAGTGAAAGAGGATAACCATCTCTAATCTTTTCTCGCTCCTTGTTGTCGGCTATACTTAGACACCACACCTCCAGTGTATTCTTCAACAAACTTTTATGTGCCAGTTTATTATTACAAAGGTTCACACATGGCAAATGTACATTCATTAACATAGTTCCAAAGCTATACAAAATAAGCCCATTCAGTGGGGTTCTCCAAGAGTGCAAAAAGCCCAACTCACAGCTGAACAGACACCAAAGAGGCCCTCCACAACATCAGCTCGCTTTACTCAGCGGCTGGTGACGTCGTCCATGTCGGAGTCACAACCGATGCTGAGGTCAGCGATGTGACACAGGGTAGGGTCAGGGTGGGGAGCCGCCACCGACTGTCTGCTCTGGGCCTTCCTGTCTCGAGACTGGACCATGGCCTGGCGTAGGCACGTGACCCACTGCTGCTTACTAAAGGAGTCGTTGCCTTGCAGGCTGTAGGAGTGGGCCTTGGAGCGCCCCCTGCTGCTCACACGAAAACAGTTTTTCACTACGAAGGCAGAGGACAGAGTAGGTGGAAGCATAGTCACATTCAGAAACATGCCAAAAAGAAATGGATTCACGTCTGTGACGTGCAGTCAGGGGAGGCAGGGTAAAGAAGAAACAAATAATGACGAGCTGATTGAGAAACTTTTCATATGTGATATATTTTAACTTTCCATAGTCATGCCAATGTATTCAATTGCATATTTATTTTGGCCAGGGTCAGAGCGAGATGGTGTCCAGGGGTGGCCCTTGTTACTCTCTGGTTGCCCTCCTGGCTACCCCAACATCAAGGGAAAGATTTTGATGCGTATGACTTTTCTAACATTTTCACATAGATTCTGTGTTTTTACACCCTTGATACTCTGCTACAAGTCATTTATAGTAATTGCGCATTGTATAGTAATTTTGGGGCATGGTCTCCCGTTTCCACTTAATTCATTACACGCCTTTCTTATACAGCGATTCAACCGTCTCGGCTTCTGACACAGCCACCACGCAGAACCTGGAAATATGTGCGCAACCATCAAAGAGGTCGGCGGAGCTTAGCAAACATCAGGTCAGAAAATACCAATTTAGTGGTTTTACATGTTAATGTTATTCATTCATTTCATTCATTTTCCGAACCGCTTGATCCTCACTAGGGTCGCGGGGGGTGCTGGAGCCTATCCCAGCCGTCTTCGGGCAGTAGGCGGGGGACACCCTGAATTGGTTGCCAGCCAATCGCAGGGCACACAGAGACGAACAACCATCCATGCTCACACTCACACCTAGGGACAATTTAGAGTGTTCAATCAGCCTACCATGCATGTTTTCGGAATGTGGGAGGAAACCGGAGTACCCGGAGAAAACCCACGCAGGCCCGGGGAGAACATGCAAACTCCACACAGGGAGGCCGGAGCTGGATTCGAACCCGGCACCTCTGCACTGTGAAGTCGACGTGCTAACCACTGGACTACCAGGCCGCCCGTTAATGTTATTTTAAACAGTTAATTTAATGCCAAATGTGCGACTCTGACTCATTCATTTGTAAATCTGATCAGTGCATCACCAGCCATATATCCCACTGCGCATCACCAATTCATTTACAGGCATACGCCTTACCTTTGTCATTGCCACCCGTGAAGGCTCCTCTGAAGGAACCCCCACCACCTGTTTCCCCATCTGGGATCACCTCCAGGTTTAAGGAGGCATTGGGAAGAGGTTGTCTGTAGACTTGGAAGACATGACCTCCTTCCCGGTCCTCTCCCGGTCTGGTCAGCACCAGAGCCAGTTCAAACAGGAATACATGCAGACGCTGACGCACGCACACACGCACACACACACACACACATGGACCATTTTTCAAAACTGAAAGTCAAGCAGCTCACATCCAATGAATAGTTTGAAATGGTACAAACTAGGATAAGCGGTGAACTGTCAGACGTTAAAACCAACAGCTAATGTACCCCAAAGTGAAAACAACAAAACCCCCCCAAAAAAAGTCAATTTCAGAATGATGGTCTTTAACCCCATGGACCTGTTTTGGGGTGAACTGAACAAAAAAGTGAAAGCAAAGCAAGCTACAAGTGACAAGCATTTATAGGAAATTTTGCAACAGAGTTGGGAGGAACCTTCTGAAGAATATTTGATTTTCATTGTAAAAAGAATGCCGCAAGTGCATTCAGCTGTCATGTAAACTTTCGGTGGCTTTTTAATTAGTCAAAAATTTTGAATATATTTTTGTTTTTAAATTGATTCCACAATTTCTTTTTTTTATTGTACGTTTGCTATATACTTCTATTTTAGAGTACATGAAGACACTGAACTGCATATATTTCTTTTACAAAAATAAAGGAAAAATGGTGGTGCTCTAAAACTTTTGACCGGTAGTGTACAATATATACAAACAATGTGTGTCAGGACTAGTGTTACGAAAGACGTTTTTGTTAAAAAATCCTAACTCGATTACCAGACGATCAACCATCACGTCGTCTTAAAGACCGTGCGGCATTTGCCCTAGATAGAAGAACATCACAGAACCTGTCTCTGTGTGATTTTTTTTTTCGCTCTTTCCCAAACTCAAGGGGAGTCATCAAGGGGACAATTTTTGAGTGTCATGGATGTCATCAAGATGTGAATGTGGATGACACCAAAATGTCAGTGATGAGAATACAGGCAGAATCCTCCCAGGAGTGCATGAGGGATCTGAAGTATGTATTTTGTGACACCAGTCCTGGCACTTTTCTGACACACCGCATATGTGTGTGTGTGTGTGTGTGTGTGTGTGTGTGTGTGTGTGTGTGTGTGTGTGTGTGTGTGTGTGTAGTCATGTATTTTAATGTCAGGTGTAGGTTACAGCCGCCCTAAATTAACAACACTATTACCGAAGTATTTTTTAAAATGTTTTTATAACACATCAATAGGTAGAATTTCTTTAACCCAAATGCTTTAATGCTTAAACTACTCAATGACATTCTAGTTGTATGTGTGCTTTGCAATTAACAGAAGAGCATGTAGGACTCTTCCTTTGAGAAGTTCTGTTCATTTTTAGATGAAAAACATGATTTCTTGAAGAGTAGTTTGCGAACCCCAACAAAAAGCAAACAAAATGTTACCTGGCCCTTATTGTTCTTGAGCTCCCCGTGGCAATAAAGGAAACGTGACTGTTGGATCTCTGGAAGCCTCTGGCAGTCTTCAATGTAGGTGAGCCCCCGCCGGTAGAACTGACACTCAGCCTCACCCGTCTTTTTGTTCACCTCCGCCACAATGCTATGGATCAATTCCAACTAAGCATAAATGAAGAAAAAACATTTTCAAAACAGGAACCGAAGAACCGACTTCATTGGTAGTGATTCATGCAAAGACCAATCAATTTGATACACACTCCAAAATGTGTTCATACCAGATTAAAAACATGTAATGAATAATAAATGATGTGCATCTATTTGAAAACACTTAAAATTATTTTACAAGGTAGGAAGAATAAATGTCAGTATGCAATTTAAAAAAACAAAATAAATCTCTGCAAGTGTTGACATTTTCAATTGATCACTTGTAAAACATCCCTAGGAAATCACTTTACACTCGTGGTGCCCAAACTTTTTGGACCAAAGATCTACTTTTCGTTCAACCAACCTCCCCAGATCGCCCCTTACCGCGCATGCGCACTCACGCGCGCACAACCACACGCACGCACGCGCACACACACACACACACACACACGCACACACACACGCACACACACACGCACACACACA